TTCCTTAAAGGGTTCCCATAAGGGCTACTATAAGGGTTTAGAGTTTGAGGGGCCTTCATAATTAGAAGAGGCTTTGGGGGTATTTTGTACTATGATTATAATAAAGGAACGCCACCCACAAAAAACTATAGGTACTTATGTAGGACCCTATGTTCGCCCCACTTGGGTTAAGCGAAAGCCGTGAAGCCCAAGACTTCTCGTCTAGACTGGCTCTGGACCCCATGCCCCAAGTCACTATGGTTGTTTTTCTCAGGCTGCACCTTAAACCACAAACCCTGAAGGCGAACAAAACCCAAAACCCTCATCCAACCCCCCACCCTGGCACCAAATAGACCTAGAAGCCTAAAGAAAGCTAGAAACCCCTGAACCAAGAAAACGACTGTAGACCCCGAAACACCCTTAAAACCTGATTAAAGCCCTTCTAGTAGCCCGAACAACACCTGACCCCTACAAAACATCATAAACTCAAAAGACCCAGCCCCTAATTAAACCCTAAACCCTAAACCCTATAAACCCTAAACCCGAAAACCCTAAACCCTAAACCCCTAAAACCCTAAAGCCCTAAACCCTAAAACCCTAAAGCCGAAACCACCCCCCACGAGCATGCACGCGAGCGCCTGCATCGGAGGGCCTAGTCCGTCAGGAAGAGCAAGGAGGGACCCTGGCCTCGGATCCCAGTGGATTCGAGTTTAGGGTTTTAGGGGGCTTAGGGGGCTGAGGGGTTTAGGGTTTAGGGGTTTAAGGGGGCTTTGGGGGTTTAGGGTTTAGGGTTTAGGGTTTAGGGGGTTTTGGGGGTTTAAGGGGTTTAGGGTTATTTAGGGTTTAGGGGGTTTAGGGTTATTTGGGTTTAGGGAGTTTAGGGTTATTTAGGGGTTAGGGGGTTTAGGGAGCTTAGGGTTTAGGGTTTAGGGTTTAGAGGGTTTAGGGTTTACCGATAGTCTCGGTCGTAGTTCCTTCTTGTTTAATAAATGTCATATAAAGGATTTTACAAGGTAACCCCAAAAAAGGAACCACAATGGAGACGATAGGTAGGCTTTAGGGGTTGGGGTTTAGGGTTTAGTGCTGCAAAATGTACGAAGCTGGGATGAAGGTAATATAGGGCTCGCAGGACTCGAATCGTAGATCATTGCTACAAGTATTCCGACCCCTGTGGAGGCTCTTCGGCCTAATTTTGGGGGTGTAGGGTTTAGGGTTTCGAGTGCTCAGGGTTGTGAGGGCTGAGGCATCCGAGGCTTCGGGCTTCAGGGCTCGAGAGCTTTTGTGGGCTTTGGGGGCTTAACTGTCGGAGTTTTGGGGTGAGAGTTTGGGGCAATGCAGGGGCCTTAATAATTAGAATAGGGCTTTGGGGACTCCTTGTTATAATTGTAGTAGAATATACCCCCCAAGCCCTGTTCAAACTGTTAAGCCCCCTATTTTGAAGACGTTTCAGAGCTCAAGGTTTTGGGGTTTCCGGTTCAAGGCTTTGGCTTGAGGGTTGTCGCCTCAGCTCCAAAAAGGCACAAGCTGAGCCCAAGCCGTGACAATGGAAATCTGTAAAACCCAAACACGAGGGAAAAGTAGGTTCATACCTGACTTAGACGTTCACAGTTGAGTGCTTTTGGGCTTGGGGTTTGAGAATCAGACGTCACGCTTCGTGTCCCCGAATGGCCATCATTGTGACGTACTTTGTTTCTTCTTGTTGATCCTCCCACCCTTCGGGCGCCGGTCACGAAATTGCGAGCATCGCACCTGACTCACTTACTTGAAGGCCGTTGTGTAATGTCACCCTCGACCCGTTGAGCCGTGTTGTTCAGGGCTTAGGGTTGGCGTGCCGCCAGTCCCATCTCTGCACTCATTGTACCAAGACAGGTGCCCGATGCACCAAACCTGAATTCGCAACCTCAAGACATCCCCAAACCTGTCTGATCCTCAAACCCGGCTCCACACAACTCCACCGCATCAGCCATCCGATAAAAGGAAGAAACTCCGGATCGTCAGATTTCACGGGCCTTGAAAGCAGATACCCCCTAATTTCTGAAACCCTGGATTGAAGATCACCCAGGCTGGACTCTGGGTGCTCCGGTCGCTGCGCCAAGTAGATGTGATCCCCGTCGCGCAAAGCGATGCGCTGAGGGAGGCTAAAGCCTTTCGGCACCTCTTTAAAGGGGGGGGCTTTCTTTGGGCTCTGGCGCTCTTACCACTGGCCATGCTCTGGTGCGGCTCTTCTGAGTTGCACTCTAGGTCGCTTCAGGCTCAGATCTCGTTGTCCGAAGGTTTGGCAGGCACAAAGGTTCAGGCCGTCCAGGGCTTAAGAGCAAAAACACCAGAAAGCATGGAACCCCATGAAGATTCCTCCGGATTAGATACGACGCCCGTCCCGCTTTAGGATCTTTGTTGGGGTTTAGGCTGTAGGGTGAGTCAGGGGACATGCGGTAAGAATGCCCCCGCTCTTACAATTGAAGCGTTTGGAACCCGGGAGTAATGTAGGGGCCTTACTAATCCGAATAGGGTTTTGGGGCATGTTCTACCATAACTATGATAAGGAACCCCCAAAATAGCATAGATAATTATTAAGGCCACTATATTAAGGTTCAATCGAACTTGGCAAGCCTACATAGGCAAAGGCTCTGAAAGCTCGAGCGCTTTTTTAGTGCTTTATTTTGGGTCCCGATGGATTTCAGGACTCAGGATTTTGGTCCTGCCTTCTAGGGCGTCAAATCACTAATAAAGCCCGAAGTCTGTGATGTACACCAACTAAACTCCTTAATTCACCCTAGAACCTAAGAGCCCGAGTCTACAAAACCTATAAGCCCTACAAGCCCTGTATGCCCTAAGCCCTACAGGCCCTAAACCCTGAGGGTTTGAAGGTGGGTTTCGGTTCGGCGAAGGGAAGGCCGAGGACTCCAATCTTGAACATCTTGCAGCCGAAAACGGCCAAAAACTCAAGGAGCAAAATGCATGTCTGTGGTATTGAGATACTCTTGCAGTACTACTATAATAGACTCACCATAAACTAGTATTGGAATAATCTTATATTACTGGGTTGGGTTTTGGATTCGGGGTTTGGAGTGGCGCTGTGGGGCGAAGCTTACTTTGTGGCGCGAAGCTTACTTTGCACAGTTCAAATTCGGTGTTTAGGAGGTTGGGCCATGGGGAACAAGCGTGTACTGATGGAAAAATTACCAAAAAAGCTCATAGATGAAGATGGTTCGTAGCAATACGCTTAACTATTGGATTAACGGCATGGAGAATACACTATTGGCAGTAGGTATGTTCCATGGCCTGGGTTTCGTTGACAAAGGTGCCGTTGGAGCTGGTATCCTGGCGTGGATTGGGAAGAGCTCTTACCACTCTTGATACTCAGGAGCAGTTCCACTAGGTTCTACTGATCAGGAGCACGAACAGGAAGATCGGGTACCAAGAGTGCGAACAGCACGAAGGAGTACCCATAGTCTCCATTGTAGTTCCTTGCTTGGCTTAGCCCTTTTTATATTAAGGATCCTAAACTTAAACGGTAACCCCACAAAGGAACTACAATGGAGACGATAGGTATTGAGGGGAGCAGCTTGTTGCTTCAAGAACCTGAGTGCTCAATCAGTCGAGAGTCAAGACCAAGAAACCTTTCGCATCTGTTCATCAACCAGCAGTTGCTCAGTATGTAGTCAGTAGGTCGCGTGCTGAAAATGCTACTCACGGATTCACACTGGTGTCAGTGGTGCGCGCTTGAAGCCATCTGGCTCCGCACCGAATCTGCTCCAGCCGGTCTACCAAACAGTGACCACCTACCACCACTCCCCCTTCGCCACCAACCAATGCCTCCCTCACGACTGCCGCCACACGACTGCTGTCACTGCGTCGATGATGCCGACGAAAAGAAAGACAGCGACAATACAATCGCCATGGCCGGCGCCACCACCACTGCTACTACGACGACTACTACTCCTACTGCTGATACTACTACTACTACTGCTGCTGCTGCTGCTGCTGTTGCTGCTGCTGCTGCTGCTGCTGCTGCTGCTGCTGCTGCTGCTGCTTCTACATGGCTGCTGCTGCTACTGCTGCTGCCAGCACGGGTAATGGCGCTATTTCGTAAGGAAACGATAAACAAAGATAACAGCAGCTAAGTGCTGCACTCATGATGGCACACGGTTGACTAACCAATCTCATGACCAAAGCAGAACAAGAGTAGTGGTCTTACGAGCATGATGACATCAACGGCAACAAGAACAGTGGCAACAAGTATGCTAAGTATGTTAAGACAAATAAGACAGGAAAATCGCATGGTATCGACCATATGCCGACATGATGTTCGGCATACATCTTCAAGCCCTGATCTCCAATACTCCAAAATCCTCAGCCCTAAAACCCGCACACCCCAAAGCCTTAACCTAAGACCAAAGCCCTATACACCAAAGCCTGAATCGGCACTTATCCTCGATATCTACGACTCATGACTGGTTGTCACGATTGACTGCCATCCTTATCTTTAGAAAGCTGACTGGCCTGGGGCCTGTGTTTTTGCTGTGCTTGTAACGTGTTTGCACGAACTCGCTTTAAGAACTCAAGCAACTCGCTCAACAAATGCTGCTGCTTGATTTAGAAGATAAATAGAGTTCGGAAGTCTACATAATAGAACGACAAAGTGGGCCAGCACTTTGCACTTACTTTTTGGAAGAACGTGAAGTCCGTATAACGCCTAGGAATAACCAATCAAGAGCTCCATAAACTTCTGAGTGACGTAAATTCCATACAATGCCTAGTTTCAAACGAGACTTCCAGTGAAAAAGGAAATGCTACTTAACCACGCCCGTCCCAGCTGTATCTTTCTCCGACTGCAACATAAGCATCACCATAATGAGGTGACTCTTCCTCTTCTCTCGGTAATGGCACGTCAACGTTTGTAGTTTGATTAGGGTTTAGGGTTTAGGGTCATGTTGTTGGTGATGATGATTGGTGTTTTTGGTTTCCATGGCTCTGCCACCGCTATGGGGGCTGTTGGTATTTTGCGTTTTGCTACGCTCCTTGGCTTCCTCGGCATCCTCGTCATCTTTGCTTTCTTCGGCTTCCTTGGCTTCCTCCGCCTTCTTCGCCGCCTCCCAGGCAGACAGTTTGGCCGCAGTTCTTGCCCTCTGCTCGTTACGGTTCATGGCTTAGGTTTGACGGTGAGCTTCGGGAAGTTTCATAGAGGAAGGGGGGCCAGATTCAGTCAGGGTGTAGGCTACAGGATTTCAAGCTTAGAGCTTGAAGGTTCAATTCGAAGGCTTCCGCATGGCTCGGGTTATTGAGTTCTAGGGCTTTGCTACCAGGAGCACAAACCCTGAACCATCAGGGGCCACCAGCCCAACTCTATTGTCTAGATACGCTTTAAATCACGCTAAAGCTAAACAAAACCCAAAATCATGAAGAACCTCAGACCATGGATGGATGGTGGTATGCACGGAACTGGCAGCCATCATGACCGTCGCCAGTACCACAACCACCAGCACAAGGTCGACGAGTGCTGCTGCGAACACGCGCCAGACGATGGCGATGAAAGCCTACGGCCACCATCAAAACAACAGCAACTACCACGACAACGACGACCACACCTTCCTGGTGGTGCTGGTGGTCTTGGTGCTGGTGGTGGTGCTGGTGCTGGCGGTGGTGGTGGTGGCGGTGGTGGTGGTGGTGTTTGGTGGTGGTGGTGTTTGGTGGTGGTGGCGTCCTTGCTGCTCTGCCGTTGCTGCATGTTCTGCCTCTGCTGCTGGCATGGGTGCTGGTCCTACTATTCTCTGTTTCTGTTTGCTGCCCGTCTTGTGGTGGTTGCTGCTGCTGCTGTTGTTGTAGTCGTAGTTGCTGCTGTTGCGGTTGCCGAGGTTGGTGTTCTTGTTGCTGCTGTTGCTGTTTTTGCTGTTGCTGTTGTTGTGGTTGTTGTCCCTCGCCTCCCTTTCACGTTCTTCCCGAGCTTCTTCTGCTTCCTTGGCCTCTTTCGCTTCCTTGGCCTCACTGTCTGCACGGCAAGTCCGGACTTGCTACAAACAATTTGACTGTTACCATTAGTGTGTCATTGTAAAACAAGGAAGATGACGGTTGTAATACAGCGCAGTGCGTGGATGACTAACAGCAATACCCGTACTGAGCATGGCCATGCGAACACTCGCACCGACCAAAATGATAGGCATACCGATGGTGATGACAGGGATGGCCTTGATGATGAATGTGATGATAGAGCAGAAGATGACGGTCATGCTCTCTGTCACGACGAGAAGAGAGATTACAGGTAAAGTGGTAATGGTGTCAGTTGCTTGTACACCAGCGCAGAACTTTTTCCCAAAGATGAGACTATGGCCAACCATAGCAACGCTAAGAATAATACTACCCAGACTTAACATGAGAACAGTATTATCAACAAACAGAACCGACATAGTAATCACACTCGTCATAGCTAATGTAAAGTCAAACATAAGCCACGGTCGTATTGGAGACCCATGATTACCAAACCCCCTTCTTTCAAGGGCCTTGATATGAGCGAGCTCCTCTACAAATCCCTTACCCCTAAACCCTAAACCCCAAAACCGTAACCCCCCAATCCCCAAATCCTAAACCCCTAACCTCCAAATTCCTAAACACCCTACACCCTAAACCCTAAACCACATCAAGATTTCGGGGACTTTTGGCCTTGGCGGCAGCTTCCTCTTTCTGCTTGGCCTGGGGTCTTGGGTTTAGGGTTTGGGGCTTAGGGTTCAGGATTTAGGGTTTTGGGTGTAAGGTGCAGTGGTTTTGGGTAGTGTTTAGGATTTGGAGTTGTTAGGGGTCTGGGTTGCGGGTTTAGTGAGCATTTTTCTGAAGGGCTTCTTTGCAGTTGGGGTGGTGGCTGTGCATTCTAAATTCTAGAAAGGGTCCGAGCTCCATAGGGGTGTTTAAGCCACAATGCCGCTACTGAAGGGAGGTGCCTCTAAAGAGTAACGATGTCTTGTAAAAAGCATCGATGTATTATGTCGCTTTTTGGAGAACCACGGATCAAAGCTTCGGCTTCTTGCGAAGCTTCTGTCAGCCAGGCTATAACCCCTATGATGTCCTCAAGCCTTCTAGGAAGTCCGACAAAAACCCTCAACTCCGTTAACCCATGTGTAAGCCCTGAAACCCTAAAGCCTAAACCCCCAAACCCTAAACCCGAAGCCCTGAAACCCTAAACCCTGAACCCCTAAACCCCAAACCCTGAACCCCTGAAACCCCAAACCCGAAGCTCTGAACCCAAACCTGAACCCCTAAACCCGAAGCCCTGAACCCTAAACCCCTGAAACCCT